TAGTTAACTTAGCGAAAGAGCCGAACACGAGCTGTCCGCAACAACGTGCAATTTTGACAGCCTTAATCCGAAACATGTATATTAAACTAAGTAAGAACAAAAAAACAATTATGAGATTCCCTCCAGAAATTTTCGCGAATTAAAAATTTGAATGGGCCCCAAGAGCTTGGAATATAGCCGTTGGAGAAACCTTTCCATTTCTTACCTCGCAGTAATAAAGCTAGCATTAGGGCACGCCCCAATTCCTCTCTTCTCGTCTCGACGACGCCATGGGATATCCCGGAGCAGAATGCGAGTATGAAAGCCTTCGAAAGGCCCGAATTTCAGAGAACAAGGTTAGTTCCTCAGCTTAATTCCATGGATTTTCTCGCCTGCGCAGAACTAATCGATCCTCCTCCGCTTTCGCCATTGATTTGCAAATATGAAGGCTAGAATGGCCTCTCTTAAACTAAATCGCTGTGCCGATGAGCTTCGCTCCGCGGTTTCTTCTCCAAAATCGAGTAAAACAAGCACCAAAAGTCCAGCCAAGGAGAAAGTTAAGGGCTTGGGTTCTGGTTCCCTTCGGCGCTCTGATCGATTGAGAGGGAAGCCTGCAAACTTAGATCTACCATCGGAACCTGGTATTCCATTCCTTTCTCTTGAGCCCTTCCCCATCACCAGCGTTTCTGTGAGATCTTGAAGGTCTTTGTAGAGTTTAAAAACTATATTAACTTTGAACTACATCTAATCAGATTTTAAAAGCTGCCTTTGTAACTTTAAACAAGAAAGTGAGCACTAACAATGTGGTGGATCTCAGATTTTTCAGTGGCAGCACCAAGAAGAAAGTTGGCAACGCCGGCATGGAGGAAAATGGGGTTGGGAAGCCGTGGAGGTGGTGCGCGGGGAAGCGTCTATGATTCTGTGCTGGGGATTTGCTGCCATTTCTGCAGGTTCTCTGGTTTGGTTGTTTTTCATTCTTCAATTTGTGAGATTTCATGCAGGATTTGTATGGATGCTGACAATTAAGTGAAGGGAAATAAGATAAAGTCGCTAAGACTCAAATTATTTTTTATGGATTCCAAGCCAAACGTTAGATTCTCTTCATTTCATTTGCTAAACTTACTTTCCATTCAAACGCAGCAAGGCTTGCTGGTATCTGCAATGTTATGTTCTATTACCATTAACTAAACCGAAATTGAATAAGCCACTTTTCTGTCATGAGATCTAGCCAAATTAAAGATAATTCAAACTAAATTGGAGAAATATGTGAGATAACTTCTAAGGGTCGTATAGAACCCAAAATAGGGTGGAGTAAAATTTTGAGTTGCAATATTTCTAAAAGATCTAATATGCTCCTCACTTTCTATGCCTCCAGAGTCAACAGTTTTGGAACACGCTTCTCAAGATCTGAGAGCACTCCCGCCTGAGAGTGGC